CCCCCCTGGTATAAATAGAATCCAGTCACATCATATAAAATAAATATCACGGGTTTAAATGGGGGTGGGGGGAGGGGGTGCCAGGTCCTGATTAACAGTCTTAGCTTTAGATTTTTTTTTCAAAACCCATTAGGGACTGTAAGCGTAATTTCATGTAAAGATGTCAAATTCACGGTATCCTTGCAACCTTTATTTGATCAATAATGTGGAAGATATTGTTGTTTTTAAACGTGTTTCATCTGCGAATTCCTATAGGTTTTCCTGCAGTAGAAATGCGCAAGCATCTCGAATTTACGAACATTTTGTCCAAAATTGTAAACATATATATATATAGCAAATCTTTATAACCCTGCCATTCTATTCAACAAAATGTTTTTGTCTAAAATTGTATTTCTGTTGAAATATAAAAATTTTACAGTATCAGAGGCCGGCCGAATTTAAAGAATTTGTTTAACTTTGTTTATCGGCGGTTCATCGACGCGGTTCCAATTCTTTAAATTCTGACTCTGGATGAAAAGATATAGGAATCAGGAATTGGTAAATTAGGGTTTGTGGCAAAGACTCAAATTCTTGGCTGGACCAATAACACACAAAAAACGCAATAACAATTTATCTGTGTGAATGATTCTGTATATTTTATTGAAAAAAATAATTGTGTTACAAAGGAGAAAAACATAATATTGACTCTATAAGTGAATACTAACAATAGAAGTTTGGCATATTAACATCAGCTCTGTGCAGAGAAAAATAAAGAAATGTTTGCCAAGATTTGTGTGCACAACTTTTCCTCAAGTTATTCTTGAAACAACTAGTTGATTAAACAAGAAAGAGTCTGCAAGGAAGAAAAAATGAAAATAATTTCAACAACAGTTTTGAAGATGTAAATTGAAAAAAAAATAAGATTAGAGAAAAAGTCAAAGTTCGAAAATAATTTGCTGAATTGCTGAATTGCTGAATTGAAACGTTTAAATTTGAATTTAGTAATCTGTTTCGCCACAATTATGATAAAGTTGGTTTTGAAAAATTTTATATTTTTAAATAACGAAATTCCACTTCCCAGCCACTTTTTATTTCAAATCTGATTTACAAACAAATTTTTGAATAAAACAAAAAAAACTATGTAAAATGCAATATTTTTCTCTGCAGCAGGAAATGATTTAAAGAGACTGTATTCGTATTTCAAACGACCCTCCCTGCAAAGATGACAATGTAAGATTTACAACGGTACCCTTAAAAGCTTTGTATAATCATGTTGATAATTTCGAACATTTATTATTTTAAATTGTGGTTTCTTTAAAAAATTGACTTGCGCATTTCTTTTCTGCAGGAAAACTTTTAGGAATGTTCCGAATTTAACACTTTAAAACGTAGTAAACTGACAATTTCAAGGGTACGATTGTGAATCTGGCATCGCCATCTTTGCATGGAGGGTTTCCTTAAATTACGCTTACAGTCCCTTTTCTGAATAAATATACATGTATAAATTAATTAATTTTATTCCAGCACCCAGCAATACTAACATAAATATAATAATATTATATTTATATAATAAATACATATTTTTTCTGACACCTTTTAAGTTGAATTCGTCTATTTGTATGCGATTGACTATTTTTTACAAACGTCCGCAATTAAATAAAAATATAGAATTATAAATGAATCATATATTTTGACTTTTTAAACATGACCAAATAAGGGGAAACAGCAAACTATACTTTTTCGAAAAATTCCTAGAAATTTAATAATTTATCCTTTTTTTTATTTAGTTTAAAATGGCTTTTTTCTGTTTGATTTGGGTGATTAAAAATTGGAAAAATAGTAATAATAACACGGGTTAGCTGCAAATAAGATAATATGCTGCAAAGAAGATAGATAATAAGCTACAAAGAAGATAGTAAGCTGCATGAAGAAAATAAGCTGCATAGAAGAAGATAAGCTACAAAAAAGAAAATAAGCTACAAAAAAGAAAATAAGCTGCATAGAAGAAGATAAGCTGCAATGAAGAAAATAAGCTGCAAATAAGATAATAAGCTGCAAATAAGATAATAAGCTGCAAATAAGATAATATGCAGCAAAGAATAGGAGATAAACGCATGAAGAAAAGAAGAAAAGAAAAGAAGCTGCAAATTTATAATAAGAGTAGCAAAAAAAACCTGAAGAAGCAGCAAAAAATAAAAGAACAAATTGGTAAATGATAAGTTGGACCAAGGATGTGCTATAAGACAATTTATTTACTGTGCAAACATTCTGATATACACTGAGCTCGGTTTCGGTGGCTAAAAAATGGTAATTAACGGTCTGTTTACATTCAATTTAATTAGGCTTATGTCGAAACAATACTTTACAGTTTTGACATGAGAGAGGGGGGGGGGAGTAGCCCAGGCGGTAGACATGAATTAATTTACCTTGCATCATTTTATCTTTAACTCTGGAAGCTGCGACTACTAAGGTTTGAATACTGGGTTCAATTCCATGTTTCGTTTCAAGCAAGGAAATATATACTGGAACTATATACTGGAACGCCCAACTCAGATATACGTAAATTGTGTACTGTCCTCTGTGGGACGAATGTAAACAAACCCAGTGCCCCCACAGAAGTTGAAGGGAAATGACTACAGCTCTGATGTGATATTACAGTCCAACAGTAAACAAGTTAATATATCAAGTTAGAGCGAATACTTATGATTTTTGGCTTTCTGGTCAATTTGGAAAGTACAATAACAATATATTCTTATTCCACCCCTTGGGCCTTCCTGACAAATGATGCGTTGCCCCTGAATTCTTTGTTTTGATTTCCTCCCAGTCCCACTGCAGTACACAGATTTGACGCATCAGATATGGCGGTTCCTGGTCTATATATATCTTGGTCACAAGTTCAGTTTTGGTTTTTTTTTACAAACAACCAATACACAATTGTACAGCCACCGAAAATGAGTTCATTGTATATTACAGAATTTGGTGTATTCTGAGTACACAATTCTCGTAAGGCCTTACCTTGAGTTGGACTAAGCCTAATTGCGGCTTGTTTTGTTACTGCGCAAAACTATTTATTGTTTCGCAAAAATAAGAAGAACTGCAGCAGTTTCCAATGCAGCAAAATAATTAATTGTCGAGCTTTCAAAAACCTTGAGACTTTTTAACATCCAATTCTATGAAAAATATAAATTTTACTAAAGGTCCGGTTTTCATAAAATTAAAAGTTTTTCCTCATTTTTTATTTTAAACCCTTAGGAATTTTTCTGAAAAAGAAAGCTCTTTCAGCTGAAATTTATAAATTAAACATTTCTCTCTCAAAAAAGTATTTTTTTCAAAGTATAATTTTTAAATATAATCTAATGAACCGGAGGCCGAATTTAAATGTAAAAAGGGGATTTTTAACAAAAACTTTAATCTATTATAAATCTTTTCTAATAAAAGGATTAATAATGAGTGGGCGGTTAATTGAGGCTGTAATAGAAATTTTTCAATTTGAAATTTTAAGTTTCTCATAAAATATTTAAACTATAGAGCAGGAAAAAGGTTAAGTAATGTCTAAAAGTTGTCATCATACTAATTTTAACAATTCCATTTTCTCAAACACAAAATTTTTGTGCTAAATATCTTATTATGATATGAATTGAAGGGCTCAGGGTGAGCAGATGATGGTTTAGAAATTTACAATTATGCAGTGATTAAAGCTATAAGAAGAGAGTGGCAATTTGAAACTTTTTTTCATATAAAAACATTGAACTAATATAAAAGGTATAATGAGTGAAATATTGACGAGGTTTAAAGATTTCTGAGGTTAAATTTAAAGTACTGAAAAAAGGAATACTTTCAGTTAACTTTCATTTGTTTGAAAAAAGATAATTTTGTTGAAAGATAGAGACTGCTTTAAAACGGAGATAAAACCTTTTTATTGTATTGAAATTCCAAAAGTTCTAAGAAATGAAGTTTGTTAACTTAAAAATATATGAATTTCAGTAAACCTCAGAGTTGCTGCTTTATGATAAAAAACTAAATTTTTTAACAGAAAGTTATTTTTCCAATCATTGTCAAAAACTATTTTCCACCAATTAAAAGTCAATATAATGGCAGACTATTAATTCAATAGTGACCTACCCTTTTCACCTATTTATAAATTTAACTAATACCACAAGGATTGTATGTAGTGTAGACTAGCTCCCCGGTATAGTGTACACTCTCATGGTACACAAAATACACACCAGGAGGAGAAACTGGGACTGCACGTGGTGGTGGCTTCCTGATTCAGCTGTGAACAGTTCTGCAAGAATTTTGTCTAGAAAACTGGTTTCAACATACTGGACCGGAACTTGTCTCAACGTTAAAGTTTGGTTTGCAAGTGAAAGTCTTATTAAACTCTTATCACAGAATGGCGTGGTATTGGTGAGCAGTGCTGAACAGTGGCTTGCATTCAGATCAACGTAGCCCCCCGCCGGGGGATCTAACAACTCCCCGGGGGGATGGTCAGCTGACCAGCTTTCGCTCATATTAACTGGCACAGAGCAGCACTGTGGACTGGACAGCATGTTCCGGTTTTCAGAAATCACAGGATCTAAAATATCAGAACAAAATAATTATTATTTATAGATTTACTTTACAATCGAAACAATTAAATTAAAAATTAACTAATAAGTTAAATTTTAGTAAATTTTCGAACTGAAAGACAATTTGTTAATTACAATGTCTAACAAAACCTAATTACTGAAGCATGTAATTTTTTTCATTATCCAAAATCTTAAGTTACAGTTGGTAGTCTGGCTAATCAATTATCTGGTAGAAAGTGTTATATCTAACTAGAAGGGGTGCAGACTCTTTAAGCCCCCCCCCCCTGTCCTATATAAATGAAATATTTCTAGTATTTAATAATTGTAAAGCTGGGAATTCTCCGCCATTCTTATTATTATATTTTTAGCTGAGCTGAAAAATCTCTCTGCTTTCTACAATCTTAAATGGAATGACAAAAATCGGTGGTGTACTTTTCGACCTACGCAAATCCGCAATACTCCACTTCTGACCTACGCCAAATCCGCTATACTACACATCAGACCTACTAGCACGTGGTTTTACAGCTGCTATATGGACTTGTGGCCGCAGCCCCCTAGCCTGTCCTCGCTCGGCCCAGAAATTGTCTTAACCTACCCTAACCCTCAAATAATACAAAAATAAACAGCTGGCGTAGGTCCGATATTGCAGTAGGTCGGAAAGTTAGTAGGTCAGAAGTTCAGTAGGGGGATGTTGCGTATAGACGATGTAACATTACCCAAAAATCTTAATTTTTCTTGAAAAACGCCATGAGTTACAAACCAGTTGTGAATACAAAGTTTATAAATTTTTCACTCAAGATTTTCTTTCACATTCTAAGTTAAATATTTTGTGTCAATGTTATAGAACACATCTAAATAAAATGAATTATACTCATTTTTGTTCTAAGATTTTTTGTTTGTAATAGTAATGTATTCTATTATATTGAAACATACTTCACAATTTGCTGTACTGTACTGTACTGTACTGTACTGTACTTTACTGTACTGTACTGTACTTTACTGTACTGTACTGTACTGCACCGTAATGTACCTTCACAGAGGAATGTTGGATCTCCTCCTGCGGCACTGGGATCCTCCAGAATAACATGAAACGGACAGTACTCCTGAAAAACAAAATTTAAAATATATTTGCGGCACTCGAATTCTTCATTCGTTAATTTTACAAGTATGATTTGCGGCATTCATTCGTCATACGTTAATTTTTGAAGTAAGATTTGCGGCATTCATTCGTCATTCGTCAATTTTACAATTATGATTTGGGGCTTTCATTCGTCAATTTTACAAGTATGATTTGCGGCATTCATTCGTAATTTGTCAATTTTACAAGTATGATTTGCGGCATTCATTTGTCATTTGTCAATTTTACACGTATGATTTACGGCATTCATTTGTCATTCGTCAATTTTACAAGTATGATTTGCGGCATTCATTCGTCATTCGTCAATTTTACAAGTATGATTTGCATGTTGTACATGTATTATATCTATCTATCTATTGGAACTTTTCATTCATTTGATCTCTCAGCTGTTGTGTTGTAGAACCCTAGGATTTTGAAAAGAATTTTTCTCATTTTGAGACCTTTCTGAAATCACATAACTTTTTTGATTTTTAAAAGATAGAGCATAAACTGTGCACTTGTGAAGGTTCCAACTTTCAAAACTAACCCAAAAGAAAAGTTTTAAAACGATAGTTTTAGTTTCGTTGTTTTGCAAACATCTTCCTTCAGGATCAAAATTTAGCATCGTGTAAGGAGAGTAAATAATTAGAAAACGCGATTTTGATATTTGTGAAACTTATCAGATTTTTTGTGGAACCTTTAAAAAGTCAAAAAGAAAAGTTTATATTGTGAAATACTTAATTTTAATAAGGAAATATTTTAAAAATTTGAAAATTGATATTGTATTGTAAATTGTAATATATTATTACGAAAAATTTAAACAACTGTTTTAATGTTAAGTAACTACATCTGGATTAAGTTAGGTAACTGTATTTGAATTTAGTAAGTGGATTAAGCTAACTATCTGGATTAAGCTAAGTAGCTGGATTAACATCAGCTTAACTGGATTATGCTTATTTACTTGATCAAGCTAATTATCTGGATTTAGCTAAGTGACTGATTTAAGCTTAGTACCTGGATTAATCTAAGTAACTGGATTTAGCTATATACCTGGATTAAGCTATATACCTGGATTAAGCTATATACCTGGATAAGCTAAGTACCTGGATTAAGCTAAGTACCTGGATTAAGCTACAAACCCCAGGACACGGACGGATGGCGTGACCGACAAGCCACAGGGGCCACATACTCATACATATCCAGCTAACCACTAGCATCTAAATATTAGAAATATCAATATTTGTCGTTATATGAACCTAAAGCACATAATCTGGACCGGTACAAGGATTTAACAGAGTAATAGCATGCACATTTACTTGTAACAGTTCGTCTAGTAAACCCAGGGTAATGTAGGTTGGCTGGGTACATGAGACAGTATTACCGCCGACGGATGAAGCTTCAGAGATGACTAAACGGAATTCATGTAGTCTTTATTTGCTATATTCATTATTCAAGACTCCATCAATTTTAAACTTGTTTTAAGTCGTCGTTAAATACTTATTCTTTGTGGGTATCCCTGTATTAAAATATTTGCTCTGTTGTTGCTAAGAGAAATTTAAAACCATTTAGAATCACAAAGCGTGAAAAAATTAAATTTTATGAAACAAACTAATTGTGTAATATTTGTAATATTTGTAATATTTGTCCATAGAAGGTGTAAAATCTTTCCAATGCAGATATTTTAGCAGAGTCCGCGATCTAAAAAATTCGGGAAAATACAGCTTGGGTCTAACTTCCAAGCTGTCGTTGGGCCTTATTTACGGCTTGAGCTTTCGGATTCAAGCTGCATCTTATTTTCCACAGAGCTGAGTTCAAAAAACCGGTTTAATATTCTATTTGGTAAGAATTGACGCATTCCGGGTTTTTATGAGAACAAGACTCAATATTGAGCCTTATTCTCCACTTAAACCAACCAAGGTCGGTTTTATTTTCCTTAAGTCGAGCCGAAGATCTTGCAGCTGTCAATCATGTGACACAAGCTGTCGTCAGAGTTGGGTCGAAGATTGGGTCTTAAAGTCGGGTTTAAGGAATTACAACTCTAGACGAAGTTTTTAAATCGCGGGCTCTGTAAAGATACCATAGATACCAACCTAGGGATAAATTTACAGTGAGGACCAGGAAACTGGTGAATAGGAAGACAACAAACTTTTGGATAAAATCCGCGAACTCTTTTGTTTATTTGTTAGTTCACTGTATACAAAGAGAAAATCTTCGTAATCAAGGGCGTATACAGGGGTTTGGGCAAGAGGGGCAGAGTGTCCCTACCTAGACCTGTAAAGAGCCCCCCCTCCCCTATAACTTAGAGCTATCACAATTTTAAATCTGAAACTTAAGAGTATTAAAAACATTAATTTGCTGTTTTTTCTGCTAGTTTTGTTTGATGGAGATAAAGTAGTCCTTGTATGGTAATTGGACTGTATAGTGTAAATTTGTTAGCGCTTTGCGCATATTTTGCCCCCCCCCCCCTACATTTATTTCTGTATACGCCCTTGTTCGCAATTGAAATATAAGATTAGTCTAGTAATCATTAAAATAGTTTGATATTTGATATATCTTTTATTTTTAGGTCTGTTCGGAACTGTTTAGAAGATTGTTTGCCACATGAAAGTACGCTTAAAGACTGGAGTGCAAATATTGATGGATCCCCTGGTTTCTCAAATCAAGTATTTTCATGCTTAAAACAAAAATAAATAAAAGTCTTTTAAAGTAACCAATTTTTAGTAAGATATTCCAATATTAGTTTGAATTATTAGTGCTTACATTTTCCTTTAAAAGTGTAGTTGAAAATAAAGAAAGGTTATCTTTTTTTAGTCATATAAATTACCGAGATCCATGTAGCCCCGAGTTTTTTGATTGCAAATTTTTTCTGCTTAAATGAAAATAAATATTTTCAGAAATCACCCCCGAATACTGTAATATACAGATTGACCTTTGGAAGTGAAGTACATGGCCTCTGTACAATTAGTTAAGGATTAGCGTACATTATCACTCTATATACTATAACCTCGTTGGTTGAAATGCACGTTTATTGCCCAATTTTTTCAAGGGCAATTCATTGAAAAAAAAACTTTTGCAGTTTGGGTGGAAGGAAAGGTTGAAAAAATGCCAAAAGAGGTAAAAAAATGTAAAAAAAATTTTTTGCTTAAAACAAATATCAAAGTGTGACACATGTTTCTACATCAATTTTTTTTACACAGACCATTGTTTTTACTTTCCTCTACCCTGCACTATGCATAAATTTTTTTTATTTATTTAAAGTAAAAAAATTTCACGATGATAGTGTCAAAAATGAGAGTGCTAGGGCAAAGAAAAATAGAAGGGGGGGGGCCTGTTTTGGGTTCAGAGTATTTGACGTAGTTACAAAGCAAACTGTTTAAAAGTATCTTATTCTTAACAAATCAATTATTAAGTGAGATGGGTCTTTTTAAACTGCACAATTGCGGTGTCTTATGTTCATTGGACTACTAAAAGTAATGGTCGTCTGCGTATTCCAGAGGTTTCTAGTTCTCATTGTGTTCAAACAGTTTAGATTAGGTGTATTAACATAATTAGAACAAAATCCTACTTAAGTGCGCAATCATTATCACACAGTGGTAGGCAATAATATCAATATAATGAAGACGACTTTTTAATTTAAGTTTTTGTTGTTATCAAGTTTTTTTCGAATTACAAGTTTACAAGTAATTAAAGAGAAGCTTCTCTTTGTGTCCATTCTGTTTGTGTATCCATGCTGTTTAAAAGCTTGATATAGAACAAAATTGAAATCGAAAGTCGTCTTCATTGTATTGATATAATCGCCTACCACCGTACAAAGAAATTTTCATCTTTTAAAATGATACCATGATGGAAACCTTTTTCTTTCTAGTATTGTCTTTAATCCGAAAGTTATTTTATCCAATCTTTAAAGTATGAACCAAGAAAAAAAAAATAAACCAAATTTAAAACAATCAAATGTTTAAATCTTATAATAATAACAATATTTTTTTTTGCTAAAAATGCAGTTTCCCAATCTGTGGTGTTTAAAGTGAAAATGTGTGTTGTGGAAAAATTCAATTCGATGGAACTGAGTAAACAAAAGAATAATGGCTGATATAGGAAAATCTGTCAGAATATATTTCTTGCATGGAAGAGATTGTAAAAGGATGGAGGGGATAGCGTATAGGACTGAATGAATACAGATATCAAATATGCATTGATTCAAGGTTTCAAACTACAGAGTAGAAATCAGATGACTACTTAGTGCATGTAAGTTAGGGTAAAAGGTAAGAAGCCTTATTGTGGTTTCCAAGGTCTTACCCAGCAAACATTTGGTCTCCAACATGCCAATGTCGAACATCAAAAGTAATTATTTACCCGACATCTTCGGTTTAAATGTATCCTGGGTATATTCCGCCTTATTTTTGCTTTCATAATTACCAGAGATATAAAGAATGATATGAAGAACTGTTTTTTGTTTTTTAAACGATCAATGACGACCTTTAAGCCACAACTTTCATGTTTTGTGAGTCAATCTGTACAATCTATACAATCTGTACAAATCGGAATATTTTTCCAGAGTTATTTTTGAAAAAGAGAAAGAAAAATTTTATTCAGGGATTTTCCCCGTGGAGTATCTGAGAGTTATCTTGCTGTTCTTTTAGAACAATATTTATAAGTTCAATGTTGAAAAGATGTGTATCTTTTTTAGTTAAAACAAAACAAAAAGAAATGTTTAGATCGTTAAAATTTTTACTGGGTCCAAATTTATTTTACAAAATAGTTTACGGGATTCCTCTGTTTACATATAATCTGAGTTCGTTTCCCTTATGTCCATTTGACAGCCCAAATTTTTATTTTGAATAATCCTTTTTGTTTGTTTATTTCCTTGTGATTTAAAAAAAAAAAATTGGATCTTTCTTATCGATTTTGATGGTTATTATATCGTTAGAACTGACGAGGGTCAACCCAGACCGAAATATATTTTCAATAAATGTGGAACTAAAATCTAGTTTTTTACTCTACAAAGGTTTGGTCCATCACCATCACAGAATTTTAAAAATACATATTTTAAATGACCCATTATTTGCAGAAATATCCGAATTATAACAGGACCCTTCGAAACTTTGTCTGTTTAAGAATGAAAAAGAAATGTTTTTTTTCTATCTCAAAATTGATTATTTTTAATTGTAGTTTCTCTGTAAAAGTAGATTTGTTTAGAATTAAAGACATTCTAAAGATTAAAACGATGAGATCTTCCAGTAAGGTTTCATCGTCCAACGATATTTTCGAGAATCTTTTAACCTGGTTTAAGAAAATATGGTTGAAGAAATTATTTGTAAAAAGATTAAAAGATTGTATCAAAGCTTCTCTCCTACCCTATGCAGTAAGGTGAAGTATGCAGACCGCATACTGCAGTACTTTTTAAAGAATTTAGATTATACTAAATAGACTGAATATTTATACTTGGTTATTTATTTCGCAGATTTATGCCTCAAAGAAGAAATTAAGAGTTGCAGTTACTTTAACCCTATCTGTTAGGGTCTAAAAAACAAGTATAATGAATGTTAAATGAGTTGTTTGTATGCTCATATATAAAAAAATCAATTTTTGCCACAAACTCTGATTTTCCAATTCCTATATATTTGCAACCCAATCCAATGTCGTTCATCTGTGATATCACTCCTGTATGCCGAGTCAATTAGCGCCTGATCCTATCAGGGTTCAGTCATGTGTTTGTTGTCTATTCTGAACCAATAGAAATTGTATGGCGGTAACATCTATCTTTCTATCTATCTCATTATCCAATTAGACTTATGAATCCTTCAATCGGGACTTACAGTAAATGGAATTATTTACTTCTACTGAAAATATGGTGATATTTCAAAATATCAATTCTGTCAGATTAAATAATCCAGGTTTAAAATATCAAAGCGTTGCACCATCAGCTTGCAAAGATATAGGGATAACAACAATTTGAGTTTGTGGAAAAACTGTAATAAAAAGTAAAAAATATGTAATAAAGAATTTTACAACAAATGATATGAATATAATCTTCTTTCAAAATACTGGAAAGAAAAGATTCTAAATTGTCAATAACTATTTGTCTCTTCATTACAGGGATCCAATAAATATAAAATATATTACTTTTCCAAGGCTTCCCAAGACCTTGTTGGGTCCGAAAGCATCACGAGCGTATAGGGAAGCTTAGGCAATGTAATAATCCCTCTAATGTTTATTC